GTCAATGGATCCTACTTAGAACAACCATGCACGGAATGAAAACTCACTCAAACAAGCAACGAGACACACAATCCAAGGTATCGTTGATCAAAATGCAAACAAAACCTAAACCAAGCATAGAGAACAAATAAGTCATGCTTCCCTCTAAACCCTACCAAACCGGCCACGTCCTCCCCCTTTTGCTTCAAATCACCACCCTAATTGGCCCCTCGTGATCCCTCGAAGGGACCGAAAAAAGTGATATTTTGAGGAAATAATAAAGGTATCCCGACATCTCGATTACGCATAATCTTTCCATGGGGTTGAAAGGTATCTCCCTCCACCGTTTGAAAACCGAACACCTCTAAAGTCTAAGGGTCTTAAAAGGTTGTAATGTATTGGCAATGGGTAAGGTGGTGAAAACAATTTAAAATGTGGAGTTAAATCCTAAAATGAAGCGCAAGAATCACGATTCTCAAAAACAAAGCTCAAGAGATGCAATTCACATTCCACAATAAACATTGATCACACTTTTACACATCCCAAACTCTCTATGTTATACACACTCAAATCACCTTTTTCAAACTTCAAAGCTTTTATTCATATGTCTTCGCCTTTTTCACAATTCGGACGGCTTTTCTCCCTTTTTTTATTTTGATTTTCTTTTCTTTTTTTTTTCTTCTCTTTTTTTTTCAAAAACAAATTTTCATATTACATCTTTACAATTAAGCTCACTTTCAAACTTGCTTAAACCAACTATCGATCATTATTCTTGATTTATACACAATAAGCTCAAACAAACCTTGCGAGGTAAACGCTTCACAACTAAGGGTTGGTAAAACATCGGCCATGGGGTTTGTAACATGGGTAACCAAGAATGGAATTAAAGGCTCAACATGGTTAGCAAGTAAGATGATGTAAAAAGAAAATTAATTTGTAACAAAACAAAAGGAACAAGAATAAGAAAAATGAAAAAGGTGCCCTCTTCCTCCCTTAAAAGTGTCAAGTCGGTCTTGGGAGCTACAAGTCAACACAAAGATCGAAACATGCGTAATCAAGGATCCAAATATGCCACTCAAGAAGAATGATGAAGGCTAGAACAATAAAACCTCACGGGATTCAAAAACAAAGCAACTACCAATTAAGGGGATCAAATCCACAAATGGGAAGCGACTCCATCTTACCACAATTCAATGGCTTAGAGTTTCACATGATAACAAACGTTCTAACCAACTACCTTCGCCTAGACTCGTCTACATTGATCAACAATAGACTCAAACTGTGTATTCATCACTGGCTTAAGTAGAAATAGATATTCCACACACATTCATTCACGTTTCGAATCCAAATATGAGCATTATTCCAAAAGTTTATGCAATTAGACAAGTTTATCACGATCCAAAAATATAGGAAAAGACTATGAGGCAAATCATATAAACTAGACTACACATCCTCATAACAGAAGCTTTTCCTATATTGCACACATATATAAACAACTAAGTAATCTAAACAAGCGAAATGGCTCATATAGAGGCATGAAAATCACATAATAATCCCAATCGACAAACAAGTGATCAATTGATATCAACATCAATGATCCCAGGTTCTTTAGAACCGATCAAACATCCTCGAACCATTCAACTTCTTCCTAAACTAAACTATCCTAAGCACACAAAAACAAAAAACTAAAGGAAAAAGGGAAAGATTTTACCAGATGCTTCTTGAAAACACACTAAGACAACATGAGATGCGGCGAAGCTCCTAATGCTACCTCCATGAGTCTTCATATCTGCACAGGTTAGATAGGAACAAACCAAAACAAAACAAAAAGAAACTCGTTTTTTTTTATAGGAATATGAAGAAAAATAAGGGAAAATCAACAAGGAAACCATTCACCCCCCCCCCCAAGCTAGTATAGACATTGTCCTCAATGTCAGGCATCGAGAGACTACCTAGAAGGCAAAAAGGGGAAGAGAAAAGTACCTCATTGACTGGGTCTCGGGTTGCCTCCTGGAAGCGCTTCTTTAACGTCATTAGCTTGACGCAACACATGGATTACAGGTTACCCATAATCAATACTTGCCATTACAGTGGAGATAAGCTCACCATTCTTATTCTTGACAATAGTCACTGCCCCTTTCTTAGGTACTACAAACACAGGGGAAACCCTTCCTTGATGTGTTGGAAGGGGTTTAAGCTTTACCTTTGGTGCTTCATTAGCCTCCTTTGCAGTGGCCACATCTAATGCATCTAGAAATTGCTCCTCCGCGTCCCTGTTTTCCTTTGGTGCTACCCTTCGTAAATCAGCACGGTCGTGCTAGAAGTGGCACGGCCGTGCAAGCATGGCAGTAGTTGATCCGCAATATCTTCAATTTTGGCACGGCCGTGCTGAATTTGGCACGGCCGTGCTAATGCCTGGCACGGCCGTGCTGAATCTGGCACGGCCGTGCTGAATCTGGCACTGGCACGGGCATGGAAATTGGCTTGGCACGGCCGTGCTAATGCCTGGCACGGCCGTGCTAAAAGTGGCACGGCCGTGCAGCATAGGCAGGAAGGTTGCAGGCACTTTGGTCTTCTTAACACAGTCATAACTTCTTATCCAGACCTCCGTTTGAGGCGTGCAATATATCGTTGGAAAGCTCTTCAAGTCTACTTTCCAATACAATTGGAATCACTCCATTATCATTTGTATATAGAAAGTTATGAGCAATATAGTGAACAGGTGTCATATTTTTGAACTGTTCTGCCTTTCCTTCTACTTAACTTGCCTTTCAAGGCCTTGAGAACCGCAGCAAAGCCTTAGCTTGGTGGACTAGGATCGATAATAGCCTGATTACGCACCAATGGTTTGGGACTCGACATAACTTGGTCAACTATACCTGTTAACACACCAAAAACAGACCGAAACCCGTGAAGCACGTAATATGAAGGAAACGAGTGTAACAAGGCAATAAACAACCAAAACGGGCCTAAATACGTCCAAAATCACCCATTTATATGCCTTAAAGCGCGCCCTAATGTGCGCTTGTCAGTGAACCACTAACCTAAAAGACTATTATGCACTACCTCCCAATGTGGTAGACAAGAAACAGTCGCCCTCCAAGATAAGCATGGTGCCGGAGTTTATGTGCACTCACAAACTTGAATGGAATTCAGAATACTTGCCCAGAATATCAAGAACAATGTTTAGTATTTCAGAGAAGAGAGAGAGGCACAAATCTTTGTGTATTTTGGCCTAAAAAGACTGAGTATAAATAGGAAGCAAAGGGGAAATGGCTGGCATAAAAGGAGGGAAGAGCTTAGCCAAAAAACGTCAAGATTAACTTGGTTAATCAAGAGCAATAATCAAAGGAGTGAAATGGTCAGCTATAGTCAAGGGATTAATTACTGAATAAATTCCGTAGCAGTCAGAAAATCCTAACAGTCAAAATTGAATTTAAAGGCTTAGGAATATTATGTCGCAAAGAAAGGAAATAATATTTCTCCAAAAAGATAAGAGGGACCCATGCCCGCGCAGCGCATTCCCCAAGACTGGAGGCCCAAGCCCGACCTATCCCAGCCTAGCTCGGCGCGTGCGCATGTGTGTGTGTGACACAACACCTACCTACAAGGCACTTAATTAGGTAGTGCTACGATATTACAGTATAACAAGAGAAAACCTCTTCTTCAAACCAATGTGAGGCTTTTTCCCTTTCATTTTTTTTTCCCTCTATCTTATTTTTTCCCCAACTCTCTTGTTCTATATCAAGAACTTCCATCAATACTAATTCTGGCTTCAAATGCTGTGGTGATGGAAATAGATGTGAGAAGAGTCAAAGATAATGACTCTTTACGTTGGGTAAGCTAAGTGATGTGAGTTCAAGCCCCCCAAATCTAGCTCTAGATTAGTAGGGATGAGAACTAGAAATGTTTTGACTCGATCATGTATGAATATGAATGCAGGCGCACCTTGATGTGAGGTTGCCTATGTTTCCGTTAGGAATCAGGCCAAACGTAGCTCTAGCCAAACCATGCACAATTGTTTGTATACCTCAAATAAGCATTTTGTGAGTTGTGATGTGGTTAAGCTAGTGGTTTGAAGAATAACGGGTGAAAGGCTCAAGACCATAGAGAAGCCCCACAAGATGTTTAATTGTATATTTACAATTTTGAATTTTGCAGGTTTATTTTTAATATTTCTTTTTTGCTTTGAATTTTTTTTTTCTTTTTTATTTTTCATTATTTTGAATCGATGTGGGCAATCTCGGATCATGTGGTCCATCACTGACTTAGCATTCATATTTCACAAGTACGGTACCAAGCACTCGATAAGAGACGCAATTCGAGACGTGTTCATATCAAGGACATTAGAACACTTGTTGTAGACACCTAATTATATCTCCCAAAAAACCAAACCCTGTGATGAGTACTTTTCGCGTCATTGGATTATCGAACGAAGTGAAAGTTTAAAAAGTCTCGTGATGCGATTGTTTTAATAAATATAACTCTTCTTCCTGTTTTTGAAAATGAACTCTATTTATGAAAATGTCTAGTTCAATTTAGTTTTATCCATGATAAAGGTCCAATAATAGTGTAGATGGATTGGGCTCGAAAAAAGCTTTCAAACGATATATTATAAGCCCAATTTAGTCTAATTTAGTTTTATCCATGATAAGGGTCCAATAATAATGAGCTTAGGATATTGGATTAAAACCAATAGAACCTTACAATACTAAAATTATTGACAAAGTAATTAAAATCCATACATATTTCTACTTTACCATCACTATTTCGTGAAATTGAATATATAAACAACTAATAAAAAATATCTACATTGAAACTTAATAACCTGAAAATTTGAAGATCATCCTACACTATAAAAAATTAAAGAATAATAGTAGAAAGATTTATTAGAAAATCCCCTGATAAAGTTGTTCATTTCATACCATATTGCACTATCAAAGGCCTAGGATTCAGAGTCAATTGGTCGTATAAGCTTTGGTATTATAGTAAATTTGTCATATTAAATAAATAAATAAATATAGAGTAAATTTACCATATAATCTTATACTCGTAGCATTAATACATGGCTCATGAAGCAATTACTTAAGAATTACGACGTTACATGAAACCAGTCCAATAAGAAATAATGCAGCCTAGCACCTTGATCTATCCCTACTGCCTAGTTCCCTACTAATTCAAGCTAGAATACATACAATTAAATACTACAGTTTTCAAACAATGACATTTCAACATTGAATTCAGCATGTGAAAAACTGTACAGCTAGTCAGTTTCCCACACATACATCAACGAGCATACACAGCTAACTATAGAGCATTCATCAAAACAGACATCTTATTGACTAAAGCCCAAGTAGCAACATTAATGATTTTTTTAATTCATCAACAGTGGTTACGGGTAGAGTGAAATTACTTGTTGGATGAACCCTTGGCGGCATTGATGAGTTCATCACCAAGGCCCTCGGCAATGGTCTTGATGTTCATGAAAGCACTCTCATGAGCTCCAGTAGTAAGAAGATAGATTTCCAGATTAACACGCCTTAGTGGAGAGATATCAACAGCTTGACGCCTAACAACACCAGGAGAACCAATTCTGGTTGCATCTTCTCTGGGTCCACTGCATAAGACAACATAGTTTAAGTTCAACCATGAATTTCACTCCCTAGCACAACATCAACAGCAACAACAATAAACAATAATCAATTAATAATTCAACGGAAACATTGAGTCCAAGCTGTTAATCCATTTTGCTAATTCATTGCTAAATCATCATGTTCTTTTTGTACAATTTAATGATGATCGTTGGGTCCAAGGCTGGCTTGTAAGATATCCACGTGGAACTTATTGTGAGATTATGTTAGTTGCTTGCTTTTAATTACTTTTCTAAGTTGAAACATGGGTAATTATTAGGTAAGCCTCATTATTTTGCTCCAAGTTTTCCAAGTTAGTGGACTACCAGGAACTAATGTTAAATTGTTAATACAAGTTTTGTACATGGTCAATGGGTGGTCAGAATTATAGCAAACTACTATATGATCTCTTAAAACAAGGGCTAATGCTTGATTAGCAAATCCATGAAGACTCAAAACGCTATAGACAATACGGTTTTTTTTTTTTTTTTTTGGAAACACTATAGACAATAAGTTTAAATAAATTGAATCAATTAATCAACATGAAAACGCTGAACATGGACTACACCATAAAACGTTGTCAGAATCTAAAAACCATAACCTGAAAATTTCGTCTATTAATCTACTTCATCAAATTTGAAAGCTAAAATCAATCAAATTGCATAGAATCAACCACAATTTGAATAAAAAAAAGTCAAAATACAGTCAAACTAAAATCAATACACAAGTAAAGATCAGATTTGATTGCAAATCAAAACAATAATAAGCTAATAAAATTGTAAGAGAGGAAAAGAGTAGAAAGAAAACGCAAACCTGAGAAAGAATGAAAAAACCACAAAACCATTAATGAAACCATCATTTCTACGACCTTCAATTCTTCATTATCAATATTAACACCAATCCAGTCTTTAGAATAACCTTCCACTAGTGACTGAGATCCCTTAAAAAAAAAAGGCATCATATCAATTTAGATCCCAAATATAAGCTATAAATATCAAAATTCAAAAAAATAAATTAATATGGGTAACGATATTAGTACCAAATCCCACACATATCAGCGATTTCTTCACCTGAATCATCATCATGACATCATCGCCATGTCCATTTCTAGGTAACGAGACTTGAACATCCGACCTTCCAAATTGGGTCCATCGCCTGCCGTTGATGCAATTCGGAGGAGAGAGAAAGAGGGGAAATTTGGGAATTGGGGTTTTTAGTGGGAGAGTTGGAGAAGAAGAAGATTTTGAGAAGGGTGGTGAATTGCTGTTTCAGTTTGAGTGACGAGAAGAGAGAGAGAATGAATGAGGAGGAGAGAGACAGGATGAGTGGAAGGGGTTTGACGGCTAAGGGGAGTGAAAGTTTAAAACCCTTATGGGCTTTCCTTATCAGCTGGACCAAGTATTCGTAACGGGCACATGGTGTCCGTTATAAATAACTAAGAATTCGTAACGGGCACATGGTGTCCGTTACAAATAACTAAGTATTCGTAACGGGCAATATTTCGCCCGTTACAAATAACTAAGTATTCGTAACGGGAAATATTTTGCCCGTTACGAATATTATATATTTGTAACGGACAGTTATTTTGACCGTTACGGATATATTTTATGTAACGGGCATAGCTTTGCCCGATACAAATAGTCTGTTACGAATGACAATTTTTCCACTAGTGGAGGTCACTCCTCCGGTGAACTACCCTTATGTGCCGCCCCAACAAGGGCCGGTGCCATCTTGGGGTGGTGACAACCTCCCCACGTACCCATATTGGCCCTGGGTTGCGAACCCCGATGAGCCAACGCGTGACTTCCTAGATGAGTCCGGTCATTATGACTACCGGGTCTCGGGGGGGAGTGATTATCGGGGTGACCCCGACTACTTCTATGTTCACCCCACTCACCCCGAGCTCTGTATGCAATCGGAGCCTTTTGACCAATTATCCACATCTCAACTTGACCTTTTTAAGGGTCGCTATGGGTTCCCTCCCGGTTATACCGGAGGTTGGGATGTGGATGATGGTGGTGCCGGCCCTAGTGGCCAATAGTTTCCCCATTGGTTGTTTGATTCCCTTTTTGTTTCCTCCCTTTTAGCTTTACATGTTTTTAAGCATCGCGGTCGATGCCCTTATTTTGTACGGGGGGAATCAAATAGGATGTTTTAGGGTAGGTTTTTGGGGAGGCACCTTGGACTCTTGGGGATGTGTTTGAAAGGGCTTTGATGGACTTCTTTTGCTTTGCTCTTGGTAGTCTTGTTGGTATGTTGTCTATCTTGTTGTTTTAGTTTTTGATGATGATGTTTTGTGGTCCCTTTTATTGATGATGATGATGATGGTTTCTCTGGTTCTTTGTACATAGTTTTCGCGTAAATTTACTTTAGTTTGATTTTGTTTGGAAGTTACTAACAATTTCATTTTGTATATAGTCCTTTTCTTTTCTTTTTCTCACCTTGCTCATAGCCACTGCTTTGGTCTTCGAAGCTTCTTAGAGGAGGTCGTTCTTGCTCCTTTATTATTGCAGCATAGCTTGGACGCTTGGTGAGGCCTTTCTTGTTTTATCTCTTTACTTTTCTTCCTTTACTTTTCTTGGTTGCTTATATTAGTATTAGTTTTAGGAGAGTTGAACGGTTCGAGGATGTATGATTATAACACCTAGTGTGTTTCGGGTCTTTGGCGATGTGGCCATTTGACCGCTTGTTTGTCGATTGGGAAATACGTGTTATGATTGCATCTTTGTCCTTTTATTTGTTCTCCTACTTTTCCTTTATCTTGGTTTTCCATATTTTCTTTTCTTTTCTCTTCTTTTTGTTCTTGGTTTTGTACATAGCTTTTTGAGGCTTTATTTTTCACTCTTTCATTCTTTTTTGACTTGGACTTGTAAACATTGGACTCTTGCTTTTGAATAATAACCTTACTAGGTGGTCATGGTATGCACGTTTGAGATTACGTTTGGTTGATTCTAGGATAAAGCATGCTAAGGTAGTTGTCTAGAACTAGGGGGATCATGAATCTGGATTCTACTTGTTTGTGGCATGTTGGTAGTTGCTCCCTATCTTCAATTTGACAACCTTAGTGAGTTTTTGCTACAACCATGTGAGATTCATACTTTTTCAAGCATTCATCATATTCTTGCATGAGCGGCATGGATTCTTGACTTTCGCAAACTTAATCTTGAATCTTAACGTATGATTCCTAAGACCGAGACCAAACCACCTAGGGAGGACAAAGGCATCTTTTCGGGGAGGTATTTTTTTCCTTTTTCTAGGATAGTTTCCTTATTTTTACTTTTGGGTTTAGGGATACATTTGCCTACTTGCTAACCCTTTGAGCCTTTTTCCCTTCTTTTCAACCCACATCTCTAGATCTTGAGCCTTTTGTTTCATTTTCGTTTCCATTCTTGGTTTTTGTGAAGAAATTGTTCATTATTTTTGGAGTTTGTGGTGGAGGAGTTTGGATATTTGGTTCTCTTGAAAGCAAGTTTGTGTTGTGTATATTTTGTGAATAATGGCAAGTGAATAAATGAAAAGGTCGTCCAAAGTGAAAAAAGGCAAGGACAAAGCAAGTGCAAATTTGAAAAAGTCGTCCAAAGTTAAAAGAGGAGAGGACAAAGCACTAATAATGAAATATGAAAAAAAAATATAAAAAAAAATAAAAAAAGTGAAAATTGCAAAAATATTATTATGTGAGTATTCTTCCTTTTTGAGCATTGAGGACAATGCTCCATTTAAGCTTGGGGGGAAGCGTTCTCATGCTTTTTGTGTATTTGTTTGTGATCTTAGCTTTGAATAAGCTTGGGGGTGTTGGTAATTTGTTTGGTGATTACTTGGTTATGGTGTAGAGAAATGCGCAATCTTTGCTTCACAATTTAGGTTAACCACCAAATTTTAAATTTAGCCTACCTTAACCCTTTTTGCCTTACGTTACAACCTTTGGGAAGACCTTTTGACCTAGGGTTTGAGTCATTCATCGGTGGAGGGAATCATGGGTTATAGCCTAAGGAAAGAGGATGTGAAGTCAAGATGTCGAGTAAGCCATAAATTCGATCTTTTTCCGGTTCCTTCGTGGAATCTATGAGACTCTCACTAAGGGGAGATATGAGATTAGTAGGGGGAACGCGGTAAGATCGTTTGGGATGAAAGTGGAGTGTGACAACTAGTTCCTATGCTTAGCATATTTATGTTTCAATCAACCTTAGGTATCTTATAACGTGCATACCATTACTTACTTTAGAAAGGTTGTTATTCATTTGAACTATAGTCACTTTGTAAAGTCCATTTCATAAAGATTTTTATTTTTATTTTGTTTTTCTTTATTTGTTCTTTATTCTTGAATTTTGCCTCATTTTTCCTTCTTTTGTTTGTTTAATAAGAGTTATAGGTTATCTCTAGGAAACCTTTACGAGAGCATCACTCGTCCTCTAGAGCGATCTAGGGGTTTAAATGGCTTGTCTTTTGTTGCTAAAATTGACCGTGATTCCTACGACAGTGAGTTAGTGTATATTCTCACCTCTTTCTTTTTCTTTTCTTATTTTGAATAAGCCCTTCCTTTTCCTTTTTAGCCTTTGTTTTTGCTCGGGACGAGCAAAAGTCTAGTTTGGGGGAATTTGATGAGTGTCATTTATGGCACTCATAGGGTAGTCTTTTAGGATGATTTCATCTTCCTTTTTATGCTTTCTTATCTTATTTTTGGTCCTTTTTCCTTTAATCCCTTTCTTTCTTTCTTTCCTTGTGTTTTTCGTGTTTTCCTCGTGTTTTCCTTTTATTTGGTTTTTTTTCCTTTTATTCCTTTTCGTTGTTTGTTTTCGTAGGTACCTAGGATTTGTCTTTGCAAGGGAATCAATATGGGCTAGATTAACTAAGCAAGGAGGAAATAATCGGCTTGGAGAGGGCTCAGAGAGGGCATCAAGCCCTGCCAGTCTGCCGCGGGCGCGGGTGCGGGTGCTTTTGCCGCGGGTGCGGTCTGGCCGCGGGCTTGCCGCGGGTGCGGGTAGTTTAGAGAGTCCGCTCGTATCAGAGAGACCGCGACCCTCTGATCACCCTTTGGGAGCAGGGGATTCGCCGCGCTTTTGCCGCGGGCGCGGGTGCTTTTGCCGCGGGTGCGGGTGTTGCCCAAGAAGCCCGCAGAATTTTTAATGGGTTCCGTACCCATTTTTCCGCGGGCGCAGGGTTTATTGGAGAGGGCGCGGGAATCCCGTTTTTCTTCTTTGCCTATAAATACACTTGTAATTCCTTTTTTGAAGATAACTTTTAGATATTTTTCATTAGCTTAATTTTAGAGAGAGAAGTTAGAGAGAAGTTCTTGGTATTGGATTTGTATTTCAACATTGGATCAATTGAGCTTGGATTTCTTCATTTTCAATCATTAATGTTAGTAAGATTTTCTTCTTCTAGTTCATCTCTTACTTGATTGATTTAGTTTCATCTTTGATTGTTAGTATTGCTTGAATTTGAATTGGATATTGTAGTTGATATTGCTTTCTCTTGATTTTGATTTAGAATGATGATCAATGCTAATTCTAGTGATTTGTTCTTGAGTTACACCATGATTAGTGAGTAGATTAGTTTCTAGGGAGAAGGGGAAGCATGCTTGATTGATAATTTGTGCTAGTTGATGATCTTTGATTGATTGAATTGTTGCAATTAAATTGGTTGACATAGTTTTGCATGTGATTAATTAGATTAGGAATGATCGACCTATAAGATTAATCTAGATTGCATTGCATTTCTTAATGACATGACCTATCAATTTGAGAATTGCTTTAATTGATTGAGTTTAATTGTGAATTTCCTTGATTAGCCATTCATAGTGACCCCTAGTTTGGCCTCTAGGAGATAGCTCTTGAATTCTCTTGATTTCTACTATTGTTTGTCCTTTGCAACGCTTGAATCAAACGAAGAAATTATCGATTAGCATGATTATTGAATTAGCATGTGGAACCAATATCCCTAGCATTTAGCTTATTGAATTACTTGATTAGTCTAATTTTGCTATCATAACACCAACCATTTTCTCACTTCAATCTCCGAAATAGCTTGATTTAGGCTAAAGAGAACACCAACTAACTCCTTTGGGTTCGACCCTATACTTTTTTTTTTAAAAGAATTTTATTACCAAAAGTAAAGAGTTACTACCCATAAAAGTAGCAACTTCAAGAAATGAAAGTTCAGTACATGCCCTGTGGGCCAAAGAAGCAACAAAACCAAAGCCCGAAGGCAATACAAAGACAACAACTACGGAACCTCTAACTAACAAAGGGAGAGGAAACCGAAGCTACAACCAAAAGTGGGTAATAAACCCAAACATCCAAAGATAACAAATAAGGTAAGTATAAAAAAGCATCAGCTTAGCTTGAAAGCATACACCATCCGCCAGCATCATCATAAAAAGCAGCTTGATAACAATCCCACAATCAGTCTGCCAGG